TTCACCACTAAGCTAAAAGGGTATCTGGGGGCCATACTCTCGGGGCTTCTCCAGTCTCCTTTAGGCCAGTAAATCTGGTCTCTTTTTTGTGAGTTAGAATTTTGTTCTACATCCTTCTCCAGCTCTGTCCAGAACCCTCTGTTGTGATCCTGGTCGGAGCAGTCAGTGGTGGTAGCCGGGCACCATCTAGTTGCACTGGACTCAGTCCGGTGGGGGCCCTGGTAGCTGTGGTCCATTAGTCCTTCGGACTAATCTTTTCCTTGTATCCTGTTCTCTTCATTCTCCCTTGCTCCCGATAAAAGGGTAAATTTTATGGTACGTGAATTACATCTCAATATAGTTGTAGTTAAAAAGTGAAACCTAAAAAAAAAAAATTACCTGACAAATTCTCCAGAATTAAAAACTAATCAATGATTAACATGTGTTTTCTGAAACAATATTGTATAAATACAATCAATCCACCCAAATACTAATTATACTGTTTAAAGCACAGCCATGAAAATGTTTCATACAATGCAATATCATAAATATTAAAGATGCCTCACACGTTTACTGCACTATACAGTTTAGTGTGGTAGACAATGAAGACTTAGTCAAGATTCATAAGCTCCACCATCTCAATCTCTGTGTTCAGTTACATGACCTTGTCTGTGCCCAAACTTTTCGTCTTGACAATCTGAAGAAAACATCATATTGCTTTTTCCCAACCTTTCCAGAGACACTCAATTTGACTGCTGACATAATAAAACAAAATAAATCCTTAATGCACACCCTGTTAACTACTACATAACAGCAAAGGACTGTAGCAATATCTACCACAAATCTAAGAAACTGACCTGTATTCATAAATGTATATACACACTCAATTACAAACGAGCACTTGAGTTTTTTAATACTCTGAAGTTAATTCCTTCCCCCCACCATCATGAAGAGAGAATAGTTAAATTCTAGGATGTTTTAAGACTAATAATAAGTAGTAGGGTATTCTATCTCAAGATACACACAAACACACTTTTCAGTGATATTATTCAGAAACACAATGTTTTACTTTAACTGACTCTACTCTCTGTAAGGAGTCCTGGTGGCGCAGTGGTTAACAGCTCGACTGCTAACCAAAAGATTGGCGGTTCGAATTCACCAGCCGCTCCTTGGAAATCCTATGGGGCAGTTCTATTCTGTTCTACAGGGTTGCTATGAGTTGGAATTTTTTTTTTACTGTATTTGTCTTTGAATTTCCATAAAGAGTATCAGTTTTGGCCTTCTGAATCTAGGTATCCTAGCCTCAAAATAACAAATACATGGTAGAGAATGGGATTTGAAAACATGTAATACGTAAACAGCATCCAATGGCAATCTTTGAAACTATTTGTTTGGATAATTACACTATAATGCACATATAAAGTACATCATAATCAAAGGGAAAATAACTATGAGGGTCAGCATCGTATGAAAACAGTGGATACCATCCTCTCCCTATAAAAAAATCAAACAAAATGCCAAATTCAATATCATTTAAGTGTTATGCAAATGAAAGGTTTGCATGTAGGTACGCACACACTTTTTCCAATTTTAAAGCATTTTAGTTTCAAAAAGTGTTGACCCATATCAAACATGTTTGATTCTCTATAGGTAAGGAGAGCAGATAAACTATGTTCATTTTATAGATGAGGAAACTGGGACTCAAGAGGTAAATGGCCTTAACAAATTTACAAAATTTAAGACAAATGAACACCTCAGTTTTAGGGAAGTATTCTTAAGAAGCCAAACAAGGAATTAAGCAGCCTGCCTCAATGTATGAAGTTTCCTAGAAATCGAAGGTATCTCCATTCAATAGTAAGCCCTGGGATACTTCCAGTTCTTGAAGTCAACAATTGGTCACATTGGAAACTGGTACTGCTGTAAAGAATTTGCAGTCTCAAAAGAGGCCTGTGAAGTTGTATTATGTATTTCCACAGAGGAAATACAAGGTCTACCTTCAACATAACACTGGGCACCATCAAGAAACATACTGAAAATACACTGAGACTTTTAGAGTCTCACTAGTACAGCCAGATCTGAGAATAATGGTTACCCAAGGTTCAATTAGAGTGTAAAAGATTAAAAGGGGGAAAAGAAATTTTTTTTATTGTTGTGCTTTAAGTGTAAGTTTACAATTCAGGTTAGTCTCTCATACAAAAATTTATACATAGTTTTATGACCCTACTTGCTCTCCCTATACTGTCACAGCACACTCTTCCTTTTCACCCCGGATTTCCTGTGTCCATTCAACCAGCTCCTGACCCTCTCTGCCTTCTCATCTCGCCTCTGGACAGGAGCTGCCCATTTAGTCTCATGTATCTACTTGAGCAAAGAAGTACACTCTTCATGAGTATCATTTTATGTCCCATAATCCAGTCTAATCTTTGTCTGAAGAGTTGGCCTCAGGAATGGTTTTAGTTTTGGGTTAACAGAGAGCCCAGGGGCGTCTTCCAGGGTCCCTCCAGTCTCAATTAAACCATAAAGTCTGGTCTTTTTACTAGAATTTGAGTTCTGCACCCCACTTTTCTCCTGCCCCATCAGGGACTCTCTGTTGTGCTGTCAGGGCGGTCATCGTGGTAGCCGAGCACCATCTAGTTCTTCTGGTCTCAGGCTGATGAAGTCTCTGGTTTATGTGGCCCTTTCTGTCTCTTGGGCTAATACTTCCCTTGTGTCTTTGGTGTTCTTCATTCTGCTTTACTCCAGGTAGGCTGGGACCAGTTGATGCATCTTAGATGGCCACTTGCTAACTTTTAAGACACCAGACGCCACTCACCAAAGTGGGATGCAGAACATTTTCTTAGAAAACTTTGTTATGCCAACTAACCTAGATGTCCCCTGAAACCATGGTCCCCAGATCCCCGCCCTTGCTACTCTGTCCCTCAAAGTGTTTGACTGTATTCAGGAAACTTCTTAGCTGTGGTTTAGTCCAGTTGTGCTGACTTTAGAAAAGGGGGAAAAGAAATTGATAAACCTAGAATTCCTCAAGGGTGGACTGTCAGATGTATCGTTGAGCACAGATCCCAGCATAGCGTCCCTTGCACATACTACCGAAGTTAAAAAAAGGTTATCTGTTGAACTGAACTAAGGAGGTGAGGGTTTCCAAAGGGGTAGAGTAAACATGGAAAACAAGAGAAAGGGACATCACTGAGCAAATCCCTTTAACCAGCCTGGGTTTCACTGAACTCATGTGTAAAATGAAGGACACTGATTATATAATTGTTAACTGTCTTCTACCTCTAATAGTTTCACAGAAGTTATAGATAAGGAGAATGTTGGCCTTTTACTATTATGAGACACTTAACTGTCAAGATGGCAAATCCAGGCCAAATTGGTACTTGACACAATGATAAGCTTAAAATAAATTTAGGAAATTTACTAGTCCACAGAAGAAGCAAAAGAAAAGCACGACTTTTAAACTTCAGATGAAGCTTTTGGGTGGCACACCAAACATGGAAGCCAACCTCGGTTATCCCAAGTAGGTAACAGAAATGAGTCAAGAGTCTCTTAGATTTCAATCTTTCTCTGCCACCTGCAAGCAGCGTGACCTTGAACAAATCATCTCATTTTCCTCAGCTGAGGGATACCACCATCTATATTATTTCACAGAGGATCAAACGAAACAATATACACAAAAGTGCCTGGTCAACTGCCAAATCTACATCAATGAACAGGAATGAAAGGTACTATGTTAAACTGCACCTCAATCACCTCAACATTTTCTAAAGATAAACATTATCCCTTAGCCTCCTCTGTAATAATAAAAAAGATAAAATTCCTGGTGAGAAGCGAGTGTCCAGAGATAGCAGGGGCTCAATGAATGTTTTATGGAATGCGGGGTGATGCCAGAGTGAAAAAATTATATTCCCCAAACTAAAATCAATGCTACAAGATGTCACTCAGCTTACTGCTGCTCTTGCAAGTCCATTAGATATGCATGACAGTGATAACGTCCCCTCAAAAAACGACCCAACTCTAGCAACTAGTATTTTAATAGCATCCCTAGTAGTTGTACATCTGAAAAAAAAAAACCAAAAAACTGAAATCTGCCGTTGGAACTATCAAAACTCAACGCAAATAGAAGCTCCGTAAGAGCAGGGACCTAATCTCGTTCACCACTATCTCCAGCGCCTACAACAGTGCCTGGCACAACGTTTTCGCTCGGTAAAAATATAATTGAAGAAGAAAAAAGGCCCAGAGGAAAATCTAAGTCTCTAGCTCTGCTTCTTCTCCAACATGCGGGCACACCACACTGAGTTTTCCACCCCCATTTAACTTTAGTAGCTTCAACCTCCATCCTAACACATGTACCTTTGACAGTACAAAGGCTGGGCCACACTCTAAGAGGAAAAGAGCAGAAAGTGGAAGGACATAAAAAGCAGCAACAGAGTCGCGTAAAGCCTTCCCATCTGGGCACTCGCGCGTGCTTTTGAGGCGCGCCTGTCTCCACTACCTTCGTCCCTCCTACCGCGCACGCGCACCACTGTCTCACCCCCCGCCCCTCCACTGACACGCGCTCGCGTTCTAACTGCCCCCCCCTTTATTCCCCTGCCCCCACTCCAGTCCGCAACGGCCTCGCGCCTTGAAGACCTAGCTTAGTGTGCGCCCGTCCACGCGCCAACTGCCTCCTTCCTTCCTCCACGCCTTCACGCGAGCACAGTGTATCACGTCTATAAAAAGGTCTTGCCCCTCTGGCAGATCTTTCTGCGCCTCTTCACTCCAACTCCAGAGTTCACCTTTACGCCTGACTCTGGCCTCGCGGAGACGGGATGAAAAAGCTGTGAGGGGGGAGGGGAAGGGCACCTTCCCCTCCCCCCAAACATCCCGAGGCAATAACCTAAGACCGCCAAGCCGCCAGCCTGCCGCAGCCCCAAAACCCTAAGGGAAGCGGTGCCGCCCGCCTCCTGGTTCCAGGTAATCAGTGGATCAGGTTGGTAGGGTGGTTTAGGAGGCTGGTCCTTCGCCGCGCTCGGCCGCTCACTCACCTGAGGCCGCCATGTTGGGAGAGGGATAGAGAACGCAAAGGACCCGGATGAAGCAGTCACGTGATTATAGCTGGCGCGTCAGTCTAGGAGACACGAAACTGGGAGGGGGCGGGGAGGTAAGGCAGGAGACCGGAGGCGGGGCGGCAGTGCTCTAGGTTCGTAAAGCAGCGCGAGGAAGTGGCGCTGCGTCCAACGGGAAGACCTGCGCGACATGTGGCCAAAGGGGTGGGGCTTGGGCTGTCGCGAAACTCCTTACGCTTTACGTAGGGCTACGCGCGGACGAGAGGCGGGTTCTGAAGGCCCGCAGATTTCCCTCGAATGGGTTAAGCGGAATAGGTGGAGTCGTGTTTGCTGGTTCCACTAATGGGGACAGAATCAAGGCGGGCTAGAACCTAGACTGGGAGTGCCACAATTGATTTTCTGAGGTTACTTTTTGTAAAAGCAAAACAAGCCCACAGTCCTGCCTAAAGATGCTTTCATTAAATGTGTTTAGAAGAAATAAGGTTGATAAATATTGAACATTATTTGCCATGGGCTATTACCTTGTTTAAGCCTCACAATTTTCTGATTAGGTTCAGTCAAACCCAGTCCTCTAGGATTTCAGAGCCGAGTGCTACCTATGTTTTCTCTAGCTAATGCTCCCTTTTATCATATATTAATATTTCAGTCCATGACAATTTTTGTTGAGCACCCACTATGTGCCAGGCATTGTTACAGACATTTGCAGGTACAACAGGTAACAAAACTGACCAGGTGCCTACCTTCAAGGAGGTTATATTCCAGTGAGGGAAAGACAGACAATAAGCAAATGAATAGATAAAATATTAGAAATGATAAGCAGTCTGCAAATAATTAATATAAGGTGATGTAATAAAAATGACCGAGTGGGTGCAGCTCTAGAATGCTGCTAGATAAGGCCTCTGGAGAAGTGACATTTAAGCAGAGATCTGAATTACAAGCAGCTAGCCCTGCGACTCTCTTCAGGAAGACCTGTAGGGGAAGGAGAGGATGCGCAGCTACATCAAAGCCCCAGGGCAGGAACACCTTGCTAAGTTGATGAATTTAAAGGCTAGTAACATACCAACGATCATGAAGATGGCACGGGCAACTTTTTGTTCTGTTATTTATAAGGTTATCAAGAGTCAGAGCCAATTCCATGGCAACTAACAACAACAGTAAGAGAGAGGAAATAGTGGTACAAGAGGAAGTTTGAGAGGTAGGCAGGAGTTGGCTCATGTAAACTAGTTGGCTTTGTAAACTAGGTTTAGGAGTTGATTGGGAAAGCATGGAATGATTTTTTTTTTAATTAAGGTAAAACGTAACATAAAATTTGACATTTTACCATTTTAAAGTACAATTCAGTAGCATTCATTGTATTCATAATGTTGTGCAGCCATCACCACTATTTTCAAAGCTTTTTCATCACCCCAAACAGAAACTCTGTATCTATTAAGCAATAACTCCCCCATTCACCCCTCAGCTTCACCAGTCCCTGGCAACTACTAATCTACTTTCTCTCTCGACGCATTTGCCAGTTCTAGTTATTTCATATAAGTGGGATCATACAATATTTGTCCTTTTATGTCTGGCTTATTTCATTTAGCATAATGTCTTCAAGATTCATCCATGTTGTAGCATATATCAGAACTTCGTTTTTTTATAACTGAATAATATTCCTTTTTGTTTATCAAGCATGGAATGCTTTTAAGCAGGAGAATGCCACAACTTGAAATAAATTATTTTAGAAGATTGTTTAGTATCTTGTTATGGGTAGTAGTTACATGGATGTATTGCTATGTAAAAATTCATCAGATTGTACACTTAAGATTTGTGCACTTTACTGTATGGAAGTCATACTTTAAAAAAAATAATATTGAGGTTGCTGAATGGAGAGTGGATTAGACAGATGAAATAATGAAAGAGAAAGACCAGTGAAAAGACTAAACTAAAAGTATTGTGGGTCCTAGGCATTGTGCCTAATAAATGTATTGGCCTTTAATGGATAAATTGCTGTAATCCTGGTGAGAGAAGATGGTGGTTTAGATGTGAATATGGTGATGGAAAAGGATGGATGTAGATATGTTCTGGAAGTAGACTTGGCAATTGATTAGATGTGAAGGGCAAGGGAGAGGGAGCTAGCAAAGGTAACTTCCAAGTTTTTGACATGAACACCTTTGTCTTAGTTATCTAGTGCTGCTATAACAGAAATACCACAAGTGGATGGCTTTAACAAACAGAAGTGTAGTCTCTCACAGTCTAGGAGGCTAGAAGTCCAAATTCAGGGTGCTAGCTCTGGGGGAAGGCTTTCTGTCTCTATCGGCTCTGGGGGAAGGTCCTTGTCCTCAATCTTCCCCTGGTCTAAGAGCTTCTCAGTGTAGCGACCTCAGGTTCAAAGGACGCACTCCCCTCATCGTTCTTCATTCTTGGTGGAGTGAGGTCCCCCAGTCTCTTTGCTCCCTTCTCTCTTTTATAACTCAAAAGAGGTTGACTCAAGACACAACCTAATCTTGTAGATTGACTCCTGCCTCATTAACATAACTGCTGCTAATCCTGTCTCATTAACATCATAGAGATAGGATTTACAATACATAGGAAAATCACATCAGATGACAAAATGGTGAACAATCACACAATACTGGGAATCATAGCCTAACCAAGTTGACACACATTTTTTGGGGAAACAATTCAATCCCCAACAACCTGGGTGATGCTATTTACTCAGATGGTGAAGCCTAGGGTGGAGCAGGTTTGGAGAGGGTGTGTGGGCTCTCTTTTAGCCATGTGAAGTTTAAAATAGGTGGCACAGATGGTTATGTGCTTGGCTACTAACCTAAAGGTTGTCAGTTCAAAGCTACCCAGGAGCGCCTTGGAAGAAAGCCCTGGCAATCTACTTCTGAAAGATCACAGCCATTGAAAACTCTATGGAGCACAGTTCTACTCGGACACACATGGGGTTGCCATGAGTTGGAACTGTGTGGACAGCAACTAGTGTATTCATACTTTAATGTGCTTATAAATCACCTGGAGAGTTTGTTAAAAGTCAGATTCCAATTCAGTAGGTGATTCTGCAACATCATGATAAATGGAGAAAATACTGAAGTTGTCAAGGATTTCATCTTACTTGGACCCACAAACATCAACGCCCATAGAAGCAAAGGTCAAGAAATCAAAAGATGTGTTGCATTGGGCAAATCTGCTGCAAAAGACCTCTTTAAAGTGTTGAAAAGCAAAGATGTCACTTTGAGGACGCAGGTGCATGTGACCTAAGCCATGGTGTTTTCAGTTGCCTCATATGCATGCAAAAGCTGGACAATGAATGAGGAAGATTGAAAAGAATTGATGCCTTTGAATTATGATGTTGGCAAAGAATATTGAATATACCATGGACTGCCAGAAGAACAAACAAGTCTGTCTTGGAAGAAGTACAGTCAGAGTGCTCCTTGGAAGCAAGGATAGTGAGACGTCATCTCACATACTTAGGACGTGTTATCAGGAGAAACCAGTTCTGGAGAAGGACATCATGCTTGGTAAAGTAGAAGGTCAGCAAAAAAGAGGAAGATCCTCAATGTGATGGACTAACACAGTGGCTGCATAATGGGCTCAAACATAGCAATGATTGTGAGGATGGCGCAGGACTGGGCAGTGTTTCATTCTGTTGTGCATAGATCACTATGGGTCGGAACTGACTTGACAGCACCTAACAACAACGACAGGTTACAATTCAGAATCAGGATCAGCCTGGAAGTAATAGGAACAACTAAGGATACAGTTCTTCGATTGGGACCGCTTCTTCTCGGCTTCTGCCGCTGGGCCCTCACCCTGAACCTGGGCCCTGTGCTTTCAGCTTGGGCCCCTGCCCTGCTCAGGCAATTGGTACAAAGCTCTTTAGTTCTGCCGATAAGTGCCCAGAGGCACTGCACTCTGCCGGGAAGCCTCCTTCCCAAAGGCTCTCAGCTCTCTTGCTCCATGGATCAGTGAACACCTTTAACTCTGCTGACAAGTGCCCAGAGGCACCCCACTCTACCAGCAAGCCTCCTGCCCAAAGGTGCTCAGATCTCTTGCTCTGTGGGTCGGAAAGCTTAGCCCGCTGGTCCCGTGCCACTGCCATCTCGCATCTTCTTTGGTGTTACAGCTCTCTCTGCCTTGTGGGTCTAGGAGGTTCTCAGTACAGGGACCCTCGGTCAAAAAAACATGCTCCGCTCCAGGCTCTTGATGGTAATGAGGTCCCCCTCCAACTTCTGGGATTGGCTTCCTTTAAACCTAGGAGGATGGAAAAGCTGACCAATCCCCAACAAAGATTTCATGCATCTCAAGTCCCACTCATGTTCCCAGCCCTACAAGATTACAGCCCTGAAAACTCTATGGGGCAGCTCTACTCTGTCCTATAGGGTCGCTAAGACTTGGAATTGACTCAACAGTGACTGTATAATAATTCACTGCACTGCAGCCAATGAGGGCGTGGGAGACCCTTGTTGAGATGGATTGGCACAGGAGCCACTGTGATCGACTCAGACCTGCTGGTGATTGTGAGGATGATGCCGGATCAGGCAATGTTTTGTTCTGTTCTACGTAAGGTCACCATGAGTTGGAGTCGATTCAATGGCAGCTAACAACAACAATGTTGGTAAAAGTACATATTTGTGTGTTCTTTTTGCATGTTTTTATGGTTAATTTCAAGTTTTTAATCATACAAAAAAAGAGTAACTGGAATAAAACCCTAATCCATAACATTGTACTTATAGGAAAAGAAAGTTTCACCTCTAACAGTTTATAATCACCATTCAGGAGCCAGTTAAATTAAAAATTAGATGATTGAATACATGCAATGTATAATGCACCTATTAGTATTTGCAATATTTTTGTACAGGAAATCAACTTCAAATACAAGATTGTCATGATCATGAAATACCAACTGCTAAGTAGAGCATATAAAAAATTGAACTGCATGCACAAAGGGAAAATTATTAGCCTAAGTCCTAAAGAATGGAAACTTGCTCTAAAAGATCCCTTTTGTATTTCTCAAAATCTTTAAAATACAGTTAAAAAGTGAGTGCCTGACGAGATGAGAAGACAA